ATTTCCCTCATGTCCTTTTTTGCTGTATCGGTAAATGAATTTTTTTTATAATAGCTTTTTTGAGATGTGATTCATATGCCATAACATTCATCTATTTAAAGTATACAATTCAATGATTTTTAGTACATTTATAGATATGTGCAACCATCGCCACAGTCAATTTTAGAATACTTTCATCACTTCAAAAAGAAACTCTGTGTCCTGATTCCCCCAACTCCAGCCCCCAGCAACCATTAATCTAATTTCTTTCTCTATGGATTTGTCTATTGTGGACATTTCATATAAATGTAATTATCTCATGTGTGGTGACTGACTCCTTTCATTGAGCATAATCTCAAGGTTCTTCCATGTTGTAACCCGTATCACTACTTCATTCCTTTTTATGGCTAAATAATATTCCCTCCTATGGATATGCCATATTTTGCTTATCCATTCATCCAGCTGAGGGACATTTGAGCTGTTCGTATATTTTGGCTATTATGAGTCATGCCACCATGAACATTCAGGCACAAGTTTTTGTGTGGACATATGTTTCCAGTCCTCTTGTGTATATAACTAGGAGTGAGATTTCCAGGTCATATGGCAATTCTATGTTTACTCATTTGAGGAACCAAGTACCTGTGGAAAACAGAACCTCGGTGTTTTTCAGAGTGGCTGCATCTTTTTTTTTTGAGTTGGAGTTTTGATCTTGTTGCCCAGGCTGGAGTGCAATAGCACAATCTTGGCTCACTGCAACTTCCACCTCCTGAGTTCAAGTGATTCTCCTGCCTCAGCCTCCTGAGTAGCTGAGATTACAGACATACACCACCACGTCTGGCTAATTTTGTATTTTTAGTAGAGATGGGGTTTCTCAATGTTGGTCAGGCTGGTCTCAAACTCCCCACCTCAGGACATCTGCCCGCCTCGGCCTCCCAAGTGCTGGGGTTACAGGCGTGAGCCACCAGGCCAGCTGCATCATTTTACATTCTTTTTTTTTTTTTTTTTTTTTTGAGACAGAGTTTCTATTGGCCATGCTGGAGTGTAGTGGTGACATCTCAGCTCACTGCAGCCTCTGTCCCCAGTCAGTGTTCCTCAGCCTGAGTAGCTGAGATTACAGACATGCACCACCACGTCTGGCTGATTTTTTTTTTTTTTTTTTTTTTTGAGACAGAGTCTCACGCTGTTGCCCAGGCTGGAGTGCAGTGGCGCGATCTCGGCTCACTGCAAGCTCCGCCTCCTGGGTTCACGCCATTCTCCTGCCTCAGCCTCCTGAGTAGCTGGGACTACAGGCGCCCGACCGGCCGCTAATTTTTTGTATTTTTAGTAGAGACGGGTTTCACTGTGGTCTCGATCTCCTGACCTTGTGATCGCCGCTCGGCCTCCAAAGTGCTGGATTACAGGCTTGAGCCACCGCGCCTGGCCTAATTTTGTATTTTTAGTAGAGATGGGGTTTCTCAATGTTGGTCAGGCTGGTCTCAAACTCCCCACCTCAGGACATCTGCCCGCCTCGGCCTCCCAAGTGCTGGGATTACAGGCGTGAGCCACCGTGCCAGCTGCATCATTTTACATTCTTTTTTTTTTTTTTTTTTTTTGAGACAGAGTTTCTATTGGCCATGCTGGAGTGTAGTGGTGACATCTCAGCTCACTGCAGCCTCTGTCCCCCAGGTTCAAGTGATTCTCCTGCCTCAGCCTCCTGAGTAGCTGGGATTACAGGCACCTACCACCATGCCTGGCTAATTTTTGCATTTTTAGTAGAGACGGGGTTTCACCATGTTGGCCAGGCTGGTCTCAAACTCGTGATCTCAGGTGATCTGCCCACCTCGGCCTCCCAAAGTGCTGGGTTTACAGGCTTGAGCCACTGCACCCAGACCATTTTACATTCTTACTAGCTGGTTTCTCCACATCTTCACCAACACTTATTATGATATTTAGATTACAGTCATCCTAGTGGGGGTGAAGTGCCTCCACCAGTTTTGTAAATAAAGTTTTATTGGAATACTCACATTCGTTTGTCATTTACATATTGTCTATGGCTACTTTTTTTTTTTTTTTTTTTTTTTTTTTGAGATGGAGTCTCGCTGTCTCCCAGACTGGAGTGCAGTGATGTGATCATGGCTTCACCTCCCTAGCGCAAGAGATCCTCCCACCTTAGCTTTCTGAATATCTAGGACCACAGCTGCATAGCACCATACTCAGCTGGTTTTTAATTTTTAAAATTAAACTTATTTTAATTTATTTTTTGGTAAAGATGGAATCTCACTATGTTGCTCAGGTTGGTCTTGAACTCCTGGTCTCAAGCTATCCTCCTGCCTTGGCCTCTTAAAATGCTGGAACTAGAGGTGTGAGCCACCGTGCCTAGCCTAGGACTGGAATCTTTCTGGGACTCAGTCCCGACATCCATGAAGTGGGATACAATACCACCTTATAGGGCCAGGCCCGATGGTTCACATCTGTAATCTCAGCACTTTGGGAGGTCAAGGCAGATGGATGACTTGAGGTCAGGAGTTTGAGACCAGCCCCGCCAAAAAGGTGAAACCCTGTCTCTACTAAAAATTCAAGAATTAGCAGGGCTTGGTGGTGGGAGTTTGTAATCCCAGCTGCTCAGGAGGCTGAGGCACGAGAATCGCTTGAACCCAGGAGCTGGAGGTTGCAGTGAGCTGAGATCGCACCACTGCACTCCAGCCTGGGTGACACAGTGAGACGTGGTCTCAAAACCAACCAACCAACCAATCAGCCAACCAACCATCTTAAAAGATGTGATGAGGCTTGTAAAGCAAGGGCAGTCAAGTGCTTGCCCCGGGAATAAATAGACATTAAACCCAGCACTTCTCTAGAACCTGAGGTGCCTGGTTCCTGATCTAATGGCCTGCACATCCCCTAATTTCTCAACCAGATACTTTTTCTGTCACCCAGCTGGCTCTAGCTGAGTTACTGGTGTTTCGACTGAGTCTTCCTTACTCTGATCTGGAAAGCCTAAGTTATACATCTTACATAAAAATTAGAATCATGGGGCAGGGTGGCTCATGCCTGTAATCCCAGCACTTTGGGAGGCCGAGGCAGGCGGATCACTCGAGGCCAGGAGTTCAAGACCAGCCCGGCCAACATTGTGAAATCCCGTCTCCATTAAAAATACAAAAATTAGCCGGGCATGGTGGTATGCATCTGTAATCCTAGCTACTTGGGAGGCTGAGGCAGAATTACTTGAACCCTGGAGGTGGAGGTTGCAGTGAGCCAAAATCGTGCCACTGCACTCCAGCCTGGGTGACAGAGCGAGATTCTGTCTCAAAAAATAAATAAACAAATAAATAAATAAATAAACAAATAAATAAATAAATAAATTTACACATCTGGATGTATCACTCAGCATGCAGAATGGAGTCCTCTCTTCTCTCCCACGTCCTGGCGTCTCTTTTGTCCTCTGGCACACCATCACTGTTGGCCAACAAGCTGGGTCTCTCATCTCTGCAGCCTCGTTTCCATCCTAGCTCTGTGTCAGAGGGTCAGTACCAATTATACATACACACGTTCATGCATCCCAGGATGAGGCCAAGCTTCTGTTGGGAACATGGGCTCTATTTGAAGTCAGGCAGGTAGGGTGGGGCTCTGGCCATTATACCTGGCTGTGGACACTTGAGTGTGTTACTCAACCCCTCTTGGCCTCAGTTTCTTTATCTGTAAAGCATGGACAGCCATGTTTACCTGTCAAGGCCACCCTGAGTATGAAATGAACTAACAAATGGGAAGTCAGCATGGTTTAATGAACGTGTTCTCCAGGAAACAGGGGTCAAAAAGCAGCCCTCTCTCTATATTGCAACAGTGTAAAGAGCCTTATATGCATTCTTCCCATGTTACAGTGGGGACAGGGGCTCAGAGACGTGAAGTGAGCTTCCCAAGGTCACACAGCAAGTGAGTGGTAGGGCTCTGCGCCTAACTTCCTATACCACCTCAAGCCAGGTCATTCTCCACTTGGGGCCTCTGTTTCCCCATCTGTCCCCATCATTGTTCAGATCATCTAGAAGTTCTCATTCTATTCTTTTCTTTTTTTTTTTTTCAGACAGAGTCTCACTCTTTTCGCCCAGGCTGGAGTGCAGTGGCACAGTCTTGGAACATGGGAGGCAACCTTCACCTCCTGGGTTCAAGCAATTCTCATGCCTCAGTCTCCCAAATAGCTGGGATCATAGGCGCCCGCAACCATGCCTGGCTAATTTTTGTATTTTTAGTAGAGACGGGGTTTCACCATGTTGGTCAGGCTGGTCTTGAACTCCTGACCTCAGGTGATCTGCCTGCCTCAGCCCCCCAAAGGGCTGGGATTACAGGTGTGAGCCAGCGCACCCGGCCTCTCGTTCTATTCTATATCCAGAGTCCTAACTCCCTCATGGTTCATCTCCTGGGAGGGGTGGGGATGACTTGCCCACCTGTCCTTCACCTGGCTTCCTGACCCACAGGCAGTGCCCCCATATCTATCCCCAAGGCTTCTCTCCCCTCCCTTCCCTCTCTCCTTCCTGCTGCTTAAGAGCATTATTTGCTTCCTGCAAAATGCATGCGTGCCGGGGAGAGCCTCCTCTGGGTCCTACAGGTATTTCTGCTCTTGGCTGACTTGTTTTCACAGTGCCGATCTGACAGTTCTGCAATGGAAATGAGGGTTTTCTCGCATGGCTGTGGCAGGGTGCGGAAGCTTTACTCAGTTCAGACTCATGACAATGATGATTCCTCATCACAAGCCCTCTCATCTGAGTCAGCTACCCAGGAATTCTGTAAAATATGTGGGAAGAGGCCCCTGGCGGGAACTTAGATCCCGATGGTCACTCTGCCTGGCGTGGCTGGTCCTGCCTTAGTTACTGCCACCTCCCTCTGCCCTTCACAGCCAATTCCTTCTTCTCCTTCGGTCCTGGTCTAAAATGTCACCTCCTCAGAGAGGCCCTCCGAGATTGCTCATGTTAAGTAGCCTCTTCTCTCCATTTTCATCCTAGCTTCCTGTTTGCTTCCTTCGGCACACTTAACCCAAATTACAATTTTACACATTCATGTTATTTGTGGGCTTGTTAAGTATTAAAGATTCTGAAAGGGGTGGGGCTGGCGACATGTTTTTCATTGATCCCTGCCCCAGTTCTGTCAGTGTCTAGCACATAGTAGGTAGTCCATGCATTTTCGGTGAATGAATAAAAACCTTGTTTGGAGCAGTGAAGGCGGCCTGGGGAGGCTGCTATTTGGCAGTGAGAACACGCGGAGCTGGAGATCCTCCTGCAGGGAGCTGACTTCATCCTTCTTGTTCCTGTCCTGAACCTTGTCCAGAGGCTACAGGGAGAGAACTGTATGTACAACTATATTTGCAGCTTTTCAGACTTCCGAACAAGCTGCCTTCCCAAGAAAACACATTACCCAGAGCCTTTTTTCCCCTCCTGCTCAGACAGGCAGTGGCCCAACGAATAGCGTTTTGTTTACGATAATAAAGTGGGACCCATGGCAACGCATTGTGATGTCATGGCAGTGTGAGGTCATAAATCCTTCCAGGGGAAGAATGAAGTGCAGCGCACACAATGGCTTCTCAGCCTCCCCTGGCCCAACTGGGGCTGTTGCTAGATATGTTTTTCCTGTACCAGGTGGTTCATTTCTTTTTTTTCTTTTTCTTTTTGCCTCTTGATCTTTTTTGTCCCTAAAGAAAAAAAAAGTAAAATAAATAAATAAAAGTTTTTAAAAAAAAAACTCTGAGTGGAAAGATTTGTCCCAGGAATTTCCTGCTGGCGAATGTCCAGTTCGCGGAGAATGCCAGCAATAATGGGAACAATGCTCGCTCGTCCTGGACCTGCGACCAGAAAACTTTCGAAATATGGCAAAGCCTTGGAGAGTTACTGGGCTGCGGACCATGGAGCTTGCAAGGAAAGATGTTTCTTGCTCACACTCTTAGTCTGCCCGTCCACTGTCAACCTTTCTCTCTCTTTTGCTCCTTCTCCGCTTCTGTTTCTTTTGCCGCTCTCAATCGGTCCGGCTCTCTCTTATTTGCGTTTTCCGTCTGTTTCTCCACCACTCTCCATTTGTCCCTCTCCAGCTTCGTCTCAATCTCTCTTTCTCAGTCTGTCTGTATTTCTCTTTCTCCATGTTTCTTTCTCCTGCTGAGTCTGTCCGTCCCTCCCAGGCTCTGTCCTGGTCGTCCTCACTGGTTTTGACTCGCTGTCTCTCTCTTTCCCTACTCACTTTCCTCTCTCCCTTCCCTTTGTGCTCATGTTACTGAAGCAAATCACATTTGGAACTCTCAGGACTGAAGAAGGGCAAACCTGCCACTGGGGCTTTGTGGTCTGCAAGCTGAGTGGCGACGGGTCCCTATTTCCAGGGTGTGGGTTCCGCGAGGCAAGCCAGACCCCGATGCAGGATATCTACCCCCATTCAAGGAACGTGTTGAGCCTACGATACGGGAGCTGGAGAGATGGTCACTGGCCACGGTCTGCCAGGGCCTGTAGACTTTCCAGCACTTCTCCCTGCCAGCCCCACCCATGCCTTCTCTGCTACCATCCTCCCCACCGCCAGCACACACTGCAGTTGGGGAGGGGAGGAGCTCACTTGGCGGGAGGAAGGAAGGGAGGGGAGTAGGCTCTTCCAATCTTTGGCCATCCCAGGGCCCTCGTCCCGCCTAGAGCCTCCTTTTCACAACCCATATTCTGTTCTGCAGCAGCCCTCATACATCTAAACCTGGGTTTTTCAGCCTCAGACCTACTGACATTCAGGGCTGGATGATTATTTGCTGTGGGGGGCTGTCCTGTGTTGTAAGATGTTTAGTAGCATCTCTGGCCTCTATTAGATGCCACTACGAACCACTCCCCTCGCACTGACACAACAAAAATGACTGCAGGCCAAATGTCCTGTGGGGGTAGCGATGGGGGGTGGGGTTAACACCACCGCTGGCTGAGAATCACTGGTCTAAACCATCTCTGCTCCTGCTCCTTCCTTCCACATTCCTCCCTGTTACTCTCATTTTCTCTCTTGCTAAAACCCTCCATCGCGCCCTATTATTATTAGTAGTAGTAGTAGTAGCAGCATGAATATCAGCAAACACCTATATAGGGCTTTCTGTGTGCCAGGGATTGGACCACGTGCTTTGTGCATATATAACTAATTTCTTAGCCCCTATCTCACAGGGCTGTTGTGAGGTTGATCAGTACAAAGCAATACAGCACCTACCCCGGTGCTAAGAGGTTGTTATTACTATGAGTCTGTGGGTCTTAGTGTCCCTAAGCCACACCCTCTCATGCCACTAGGCTTTTGCACCTGCCTTTCCCACTGCCTGGACCCACTTTGCCCCCTTTCTCCACTTGGTGCCCTTCTCCCCACTGGGACCTGCTTCCCGTCTGAGTGGCTCTCCCAAGACTTTCCTCAGGGCCTAGAGCACCCTGGGCCCCTCCACTGGAGGCTCCTATCTCCTGTCTCAAAAAAAAAAAAAAAAAGATTCACGCATCTGGACGTGTCACTCAGCATGCAGAATGGAGTCCTCTCTTCTCTCCCACGTCCTGGAGTCTCTTCTGTCCTCTGGCACACCATCACTGTTGGCTAGCAAGCTGGATCTCTCATCTCTGCAGCCTTATCTCCATCCTAGCTCTGTGTCAGAGGGTCTCCAGTTCAGCAGACTGGCCAGGAGCTGGAGGTGGCGTGGGGGTGATGGTTTATTCAGGGATATTGGGTCTGGAGGTTCTTCTTCTTCTTCTTCTTCTTTTTTTTTTTTTTTTTTGATACAGTGTCTTACTCTGTTGCCTGCCGCCTGGAGTGCAGTGGCATGATCTCAGCTCACTGCAACCTCCACCTCCCGGGTTCAAGGGATTCTCCTGCCTCAGCCTCCCAAGTAGCTGGGACTACAGGCGCCCACCGCCAGCCCAGCTAATTTTTGTATTTTTAGTAGAGGTGGGGTTTCACCATGTTAACCAGGCTGGTCTCGAACTGCTGACCTCAAATGATCTAATAACAACAATAATAATAGGCAGCCATGAAGGGTTTTAGCAAGAGAGAAAATGAGAGTAACAGGGAGGAATGTGGATGGAAGGAGCAGGAGCAGAGATGGTTTAGACCAGTGGTTCTCAGCCAGGGGTGGTTTTAACCCCTACCCCCCACAGCTACCCCTGCAGGACATTTGGCCTGAAGTCATTTTTGTGTAGGTCTGAGGTTGAAAAACCCAGGTTTAGATTAAGTATTGAGGCTGCTGCAGAACAGAATCCAGCCTGGGTCTGGAGGTTATAATGAACAAGGGCCAGTACCCTTGGTGGGAAGCCTAAGAATGATGAGGGCAGAAATAAGCATCAAAGTCCCACCATACCCTCCATCCTCCCTTTCCCCCCATCCCCCTATCCCCACCTCAGTCTCAGGGCTACAACCATCCTCTATACTGTCTCCGTAGTGCCATGTGACCCAAACCTGACCAATGAGATGAAGCCACACCCCTGGCCTCGGTCAAGGCTTGCATGTGACTTCACTTGGTCCAGTGACATTTTTGGACACGAGGTGGGGTTAAAGGTGAACCTGGGTGCGGTTCCATGCAGTGGTCCTGTTGGGAATCAACGTCAAGAAAGCTGGGACTTAGATGGAGCCCGAGGCTGGAGGCCGCTATTTGAGGCCTGTGGCCAGGCAGTGCCGGAAGTTCCGCCTTGGGCTCCCCATTTCCGGGGCCCTGAGTCCGTCTGTTTCCCTGAAGCTGTTGGGAGCTGACTTTTCTTCCTTCCCCCTCAGTCACGCCCCCGACTTCCATGCCTGTGCCCTGTGCCCCTGGGTCTTCCCACCATGCCTTTCCAAGCCCTCCTTTCTGTGGAGCCCTGGGTTCTTCCCATCTCAGACATGAATCCTCCAGAATTAATGAAAACCCCTGCGGCCCCGCTTAGCCCTGCACACTCCTCCTCCCCAAGCTCCGGGTGATGCCACAGGAACTGAAAACGCATGGAGGGGCCCCCAGGGAGGAGGAGGGGGCTGCCCAGTGGCTCTCACTTTAGGGTCTGTCTGCTTCGGGCCAGATCTAGACGCGCAGGCCTCCCGCAGAGCAACGGGAAAGCCCGATGTGGGGGCAAGCTCGGGGAGCCCACACCTGCACGTGTCCTTGTACAGGGTACCCCAAGTTCTACCACAGCCTCAACGCCTCTGTGCACGGCCCTCCCCTCCACCCCTGCGCCTCCAGCTGCAGCAAAGGCAGCTCGCTAAAAAAGTGAGCTGTGGTGGGGAGGCTTGGGGGGCGGGAGGGATGGCAAAATCACTCATGTGGATGCAACTGTACCTTCTAAAATGAAGTACAGATGGGCAAATTAGGGTGCGCATGTGTATGCAAACCCTGTGTATGAACTAACGTGCGTGGCATGCCGCAGATCATATTTTCATACCAACAGCATGGCTTTGGTGCATCAGACATAGGCCCACGTACACACACACACGCATACACACACGTATACACACCAGTATTAAGCACTTTTAAGCAGCACTCCATGAAGGATTATGAAATCCTAAATTGGGGACAAATGTGTGGCAGGGTGCTGCTAAGACAGTGAGTGCTGGGAGAAGCCAAGAAATGCTTCTTCATTGTATACACGGTGTCCTCCACCTTCTCCAAATGTAAATGGCCCCCAGTATCTGGGGTTCTGGGAAGCTGGCAAAACAACCCCCAACCCAGCTACTTTCTTGCCACTTTCCACCCTCACGCCCAGATGGTGCCCGAGATATAATCGCCATATAACCCCCCTCCCCAAGGCTTCAAGCCATGGAATAAATTTCGAGCCATGCTATAAACTGTGCTTTTGGATGTCATTGAGCGCACCCGTGCCAATGACATCACTGTTTCCATGGCAACTAATATAATTAACATGAGAGAAAGTGCAAGGAGAAAGAGAAGGAAAAGAGGGAAAACACCAAGTCCAACCCCAAACAGAGAAAATTACACGGTGGGGGAGAGGAGGGGGGCAGAGGGGCCTATAAAATGTTTTACTGCCACTTGTTAGAAAGGCCCGGCATAACTCCGCTCATAGCTGTGGGGGTAATGAGATCATTTGCAAACTGTATCTTTTGCAAAATACAGAAAGGGCTTTGTCGCCTTCACAGTTTATAGAGTTGAAACAGAGGAGCCTGCTCCAGGTGAGGCGGGAACTCCTCCATCTCCTTCCCGGTTCAAGGTTCTTATTAAGCCAGGTCTGCTCTACTCGGGACTCGAAGAGACATAAGCACACCCAGGTTTGGTCCTCTGGGTGTTCATATTCCCAGACGGGAAATGAGGACACATTGAAACATATCCAGGCATGAAGCTGAGATGGGCAAGGAGATAAAGCAAACACTCATACTTCTGTGTAGAGCAGTGACATCTCATTCCCAGGTTGGGCATTCCAGCTCATAAACATCGCTGGCCAGGCCTGGTGGCTTACGTCTGTAATCTAAGAGCTTTGGGAGGCCATGGTGGGAGGATCGCTTGAGCCCGGGAGTTTGAGACCAGCCTGGGTAACATAGCGAGACCTATCTCAAAAAAAAATAAAAATAAGAAGCCTGGATGCGGTGGCTCATGCCTGTAATCCCAGCACTTTGGGAGGGCGAGGCAGGCAGATCGCTTGAGGCCAGGAGTTTGAGACCAGCCTGACCAACATGGAGAAACCCCATCTCTACTAAAAATACAAAATTAGCTGGGCGTAGTGCTGGGCGCCTGTAGTCGCAGCTACTTGGGAAGCTGAGGCAGGAGAATCACTTGAACCTGGGAGGCGGCTCCATCTCTAAGAAAATAGGCTAGGCATGGTGGCGTGCACCTGTAGTCCTAGCTACTTGGGAAGTTGAGGCAGGAAGATTGCTTGAGCCCAGGAGTTTGAGGCTGCAGTGAGCTATGATCATGCCACTGCACTCCAGCCTGGGTGGCAGAGTGAGGCTTCATCTCTAAAAAAGTTAACAAAAGAGTCTCAAGCGCACTATCTTGATGAAGCTTAGTCCTAGGTGCCTGGTATTTTACTCCCATTCAACAGATGAGCACATCGAGGCTGCAAGAGGAAAGCAAACTGGCCTGAGTTGGCCAAGCTGAGGCTTGAACCCAGCCCTGTCACACTCTGAGCACAGAGGCTTCACTGTTTCAGAGTTGTCAGCCCACTTTGGGTGGAGTCTGAGGAAATCTTTCATCCAGTCCTGGCTTTCTTCCTCAGAGCACTAGGTTAAATCATTCTTCCTCACTATACCTCGATTTCTGCAGTTTCCAGTACTTGACACAGTCAGAGTTGGAAAGGTGTGGAAGAGATGCACCATCCCAGTTCATGGCCAGCCTCGGGTTGGAGCCAGCTGGGCCTGCGAGAGCGCCTCATCCAAGGCTTTCAACCTCCATCTGACAGAGACGTGAGGTTCCTCAGAGAGATTTGGGGTGCATATGGGGTTGGGGATGCTAGGAATAGTGGGAGCAAGATTGATACCTAATTTGTGGTGTCCATTGCAAAATGAAAACATGAGGCCCTTATTCAAAAAGGGGGCACTGTACTGTTAAAAGTACCAAAATAATGACCAGGCGCGGTGGCTCACACCTGTAATCCCAGCACTTTGGGAGGCCGAGGTGGGTGGATCACTTGAGGTCAGGAGTTTGAGACCAGCCTGGCCAACATGGTGAAACCCCGTCTCTACTAAAAATACAAAAATTAGATGGGTGTGGGGGCGGATGCCTGTAATCCCAGCTACTCAGGAGGCTGAGGCAGGAGAATCGCTTGAACCCGCAAGGCAGTGGTTGCAGTGAGCTGAGACTGGGTCACTGCACTCCAGCCTGGGTGACAGAGGGAGACTCTGTCTCAAAAAGCAACTTGGCCATGAAGAAACCCGAGAAACTCTACCTTACCAGGTGATCAAGGTCAGCAACAACAGTGAGATCGTGTTGATAGTATGGATTCTTCTCCTGATGTAATAAGAATGACATTTTATCTCTGGATCTTCCTCCCCAAAAGGCATGACCCTGGTGTCTTAGTCTGTTTTGTGCTGCTCTAATGAATACCTGAGACTGGGTAATTTATGAAGAACAGAGATTTATTTCTTGCAGCTCTGGAGGCTGAGAAGTCCAAGGTCGAGGGGCCTGCATCAGCAACGGCCTTCTTGTGTGTCTTCTGATGGCCGAAGTGGGAGGGCAAGAGAGCACATGGGAAGTGGGGAGAGAGAGAGGGAGGGAGGGAGAAAGAGGGAGAGAAAGAGAGAAGGGAAGGAAAGCGAAAGGAGGCAAACTTATCCTTTTATCAGTAACTCTTCTCAAAATAACTAACCCATCCAGAGATAAAGGCATTCATTCATTCTTGAAGGCAGAGCCCTCACGACCTAATCCCCTTTTAAAGGTCCTACCTCTTAACACTGTTGCATTGGAGATTCAGTTTCCAACACGCGAACTTTGAGGGGACACGTTCAAACCACAGCACCTGGTCCCGTTCTGAGAAAAACATTCCCACAGATGGACTTTCTCCAAAATATCTGACTAGTACTCCTCAAAACTATCAAGGCCATCAAAAACAAGGAAAATCTGCAAGACTGTCACAGCCAAGCAGAGGCTGAGGAGACATGAAGACGTGAGTGTAATGTGGGATCATGGATGAAATCTGGAAACAGAAAAAGTGCATTAGGGAAAAACTAAGGGAATGTGAATAATAAAGTATGGGTTTTAGTTAATAATAATGTCATCAATATGGGTTCATTCATTATAATAAATGTACCATACTAATATGTTAATTATAGGGGAAACTGGGTGTGGGGTATATTTGAATTCCCTGTACTGTCTTCACAGTTTTTCTGTAAATATAAAACTGCTCTTAAAAATGAAGTCTGGCCGGGCGCGGTGGCTCACGCCTGTAATCCCAGCACTTTGGGAGGCCGAGGCGGGCAGATCACGAGGTCAGGAGATCGAGACCATCCTGGCTAACACAGTGAAACCCCGTCTCTACTAAAAACAAGACAGAAAAATTAGCCGGGTGTGGTGGCGGGCGCCTGTAGTCCCAGCTACTTGGGAGGCTGAGGCAGGAGAATGGCGTGAACCCGGGAGGAGGAGCTTGCAGTGAGCCGAGATCGTGCCACTGCACTCCAGCCTGGGCGACAGAGCAAGACTCCATCTCAAAAAAAAAAAAAAAAAAAGAAGTCTATTGACCAGGCACGGTGGCTCATGCCTGTAATCCCAGCACTTTGGAAGGCCGAGGCGGGGCAGATCACCTGAGGTCAGGGGTTCGAGATCAGCCTGGGCAACATGGTGAAACCCCATCTCTACTAAAAATACAAAAATTAGCCAGGAATGGTGGCGCATGCCTGTAATCCCAGCTACTCAGGAGTCTGAGGCAGGAGAATCGTTTGAACTTGGGAGGCAGAGGTTGTAGTAAGCTGAGATCGAGCCTCTGCACTCCAGCCTGGGAGAGAGAGTGAGACTCCATCTCAAAAAATGAATAAATAAAGTCTATTAAGAAAAGACAAGACACTCCACCCTCCCCCCGCCCCACACACACCTAGTCCAAGGCCTTCATAGAATGAATGAAGGCAACACAGTGAAGTGTTCACAATCATGGACGCTAGAGGCAGGAGATCTGGGTTCAAATCCTCGTTCTGCTACTCCAGCTGTGTGACCTTGGACAGCTGACTTGACCTCTCTGAGCTTTAGTTTTCTCATATGTCGAAAGGAGGTGAAATTAACAGTTCTACCATCACAGAGCTGTAGAGATCAGAGGGGGGTCTTCAAGTGAAGGCATAAGACTTGGGCTGCACCCTAAGGTGGGGATCCACCCATAGACACAAATTAGCCAGAGCCTTTTCCATCTGCATCAGGGCAACCCTGGGACAGAGCATGTCTTTTGAACATATCTATTATACATCCAGCAATGGCTTGGTTTCCATGACGACCTTATTGAGTAATGGCAACTCTGAATTCAAAATGCCAGGTTTCACACCTGGTCACTGGGTTGTATCATTGGCCTTCGAAAAAGATGGTGTGATCACAAGTTTTCTATGATAAGACACATTCAAAGAGAAATGAGGGTCAATCCAGATGCAGGAGCTGTGGTATTGGAAAAAATACTTCCACTGGATTTCTTAAGAGTTCTTCAAGCCGGGTGGGGTAGCTCAGGCCTGTAATCCCAGCACTTTGGGAGGCTGAGGCAGATGGATCACCTGAGGTCGGGAGTTCGAGACCAGCCTGACCAACATGGAAAAACCTTATCTCTGCTAAAAATACAAAATTAGCCGGGTGTGGTGGCGCATGCCTGTAATCCCAGCTACTCGGGAGGCTGAGGCAGGAGAGTCGCTTGAACCCGGGAGGCAGAGGTTGCGGTGAGCCGAAATCATGCCATTGCACTCCAGCCTGGGCAACAAGAGTGAAATTCCGTCTCAAAAAAAAAAAAAAAAAGTTATTCAAAAGGGTGAGGTCTCCACTTCTCCCTTCCCCTCGTCTGTGCTTCTCTCCTCTAAAGCCTTTTCATGCCTATATTGCTCATGAAAAATCTTAATGATAGATGTCCTCCCCCTTATAAGGATATCTGTACTCTCTGACCCATCCCAAAACTGATCTCTTGGGAGTTGGTGCTCCTCCATTCTGAAGATTGTTTGTAAACATAAATGGAACCATCTACTGGGTTATTTCTTGGACAGTTTAGAGAAAAGGGAGACTAACCCCCAGCAGAGGCTGTATACGTGCATGCGCTTGGACAACACGGACTTGTCTCCATTTTAGCCAAGCTTATTAACTCTCTGGAGCCTTGGGGCCCTCGTCTGTGAACGATGGACAGTAGTATCGTCCACCATCCAAGGCTATGGTAGGACTAAAGGAGACGGTGCATAGAGAATGTGGAGGCCAGAGGTGTGGCTCAAGACAAGCATTCAGTAGAGATTAGTTATGATTTACTGAGCTCCAACTAGGAGCTATGCCAGCAGCTGACATTGATTGAATCTCAAACTACATAACCATCCTCCAAGCAAGATCTTATCTCCCTTTCTCAGGTGAGGAAACTGAGGCACAGGGCAGTTAACGAGCTTGCCCAAGGCCCCCCGGGGAATGCTGAGAAGATGCAGACAAGCCCACGGTCTGCATAAGGCTAAGGCACAGTGAGGGATGGACTTGTGTTTGCAAGACCTGCAGTCCTTAATTCAATTCAGCAACTGTTTGTGGAGCACCTACTATGGGCTGAGTGAAACCAACCTAGAACCTGCCCTTGGCGATTCCCCCAAAGAAGAGCATCAATGCACACCCAAGACCCAGCTGCCCACTTCTGGGGTCATGAACCAAATGCAGGAAGTCGAGCCCTTGTCCAACAATGGAGCTCTTGGGTGCTGGCACCTAATACCTCAGAATGTACCCAGAGTATGGCAAGGTGCGGTGGCTTACGCCTAAAATCCCAGCACTTTGGGAGGTAAGGTGGGCAGATCACCTGAGGTCAGGAGCCTGACACCAGCCTGGCCAACATACTGAAACCTCATCTGTACTAAAAATACAAAAAGTAACTGGATGTGGTGGCACAGGCCTGTAATCCCAGCTGCTCGGGAGGCTGAGACACGAGAATTGCTTGAACCTGGGAGGTGGAGGTTGTAGTGAGCCAAGATCACGCCACTTCACTCCAGCCTGAGTGATAGAGCAAGACTGCATCTCAAAATAAATAAATAAATAAATAATGTACCCAGAGCTATGGTGACTTCTGGGATTCTCCTTGTGCAGTAGGGTGACCAACTCATCCCCTTTTGCCTGGGTCTTCACAGGTTTGAATACTGAAAGCCCTGAGTCCCACCTCTCAGTCCTGGGCAAACCAGGGCAGTTGATCTCCCGATAGGAAGGCAGGATGTGATGATTACGTGAATGATTGTCATGAGCATTTATCAAGAGCTTGCTGTGTGCTGGGCATATATTAGATCATCTCATTCTCACTAGCAGCCAATAAGCTAGGTTCCATTATTATCCCCATTTCACAGATGAGGAGACTGAGGCTCAGTCAAGGTCAAATGGGGCAAGCGGGAGCTAGAGTCAGCTGTGTCTTCTGGAAGAAGGGTTTTCTTTTCCCCTAATTCCCACTGTGCTACCCTATGGGCTAGCAGCAGTTCTATGAACAGAGACGGGATTTGCACTGAAATTGATGTTGCCTCAGCGACTGGGCTGTTAACCACAACCCTCTAAAGTGCCCAGATTATACTGCACTAAGGCAGCAACCCTGGCTTCGGCATTTTCTATACCTGTGGAACGGTGGGTTGAAACATTTCCTAAATCATATCCTTGGAGCTTCCCAGGAAAGGGGAACTATTCAAATCCAAGGCGATAATTTTCCTTTGCATTCACAGCACAAGGTCTGCTGTTTGGGGCATTTGGTGCAAGGTGTGCAAACACCGCCAGCTGTAAATATTAATGTTGAGAATCATGGCTGAGCCCATTATCAGCAGGCTCAGGTTGACTCACAGGTGGCCTTGGACAAACTGCTTCTGAAGGATGCAAAAGGCACCACCTGCCCCAGCAGTCCCCCGATTGGCCTGCCACAGCCTGAACTTCCCATATTAGACCTTAATGAACTCAAAGGCAGCATGCGGTTGTCTCCTGCAGGCTGCTAAGATAATGCACGTTTCCCAGGAAGGACTCTGGTTCTGCGACCTGGCAGGCAGTTGGTTTTTTTGTTTTTTTTAGATGGAGTCTCACTCTGTCACCCAGGCTGGAGTGCAGTAGTTCGGTCCTGGCTCACTGCAAACTCCGCCTCCTGGGTTCAAGCGATTCTCTTGCCTCAGCTTCCCTGTAGCTGGGATTATAGGTGTGCACCACCATGCACACCTATAATCAGTTAAGCCCATGACTACTTTTTGTTCGTGCAGCTAATTTTTTGTATTTTTAGTAGAGATGGGATTTCACCATGTTGGCCAGGCTGGCCTCGAACTCCTGACCTCAGGTTATCCACCTGCCTTGGCCTCCCAAAGTGCTGGGATTACAGGCATCAGCCACTTCACCTGCCCAGGATTGTTTTAAAAAGCGGTCCCGACCCCTCTCCAAATTTGGAACCCAGGGGACGGTAAGCTCTGTGCTCACTTGGTCAGGGCATTGTACTTCCCTTGCCCTCCACCAGAAAGCACTTTGTGCAGTTCTAAAGCCCCAGAGGAATGGAAGGAACTGTTTCTCCATTCATGCTTGATGGTGCTACATTGCTTGGTCACGTGTCTCAACTTTTCTGCCCCCTCCCCTTCCAGTCTAGGAGTCTAGGGAGATATTTACACATAGCATCTGCTTCCTAAACATTCCAGTTAAGCCCATGAGTAACGTCCATCCATTCCTCTGATTGCTCTTCCTTCACTGCCCACTTCACTTCTCCACCTCTCCCCTACCTGCCTGAGTCAGGTCTCTGGTGCCTGGGAGATCTGGGTGACAAGTGCATTTCACTGGGGTGCGCTGGGCATGGGGGCGGGGAAGGAATTTGGGGCGGGAGGGTCAAACAGGTGACTTTGCAGGATGAAGGGGGTGCCTATAAAATGGGGGGACAGCTCCAAGTCAATCTGTCCAGGACAGTTTTCCCAGGGCTGCTGTGATGGAGCACCATACCATGGCGGGATCTCTACTGGGCACGGTATGAGATGTACCTTCCTTGGCAAGATGGAAGGGTCAATTAATGATGCTTGGAAAGTGCTAGGGATATGCCCGATACATAGTAAATCACTGCTGTTATTTTGGCTAATGTATTCGCTAATTGATGCCAGCATGTGTCCTCCCCTGTGCAGTGCTCACCATCGTCTACACATATTCACAAAGCCCCCAAGCGCCCATGAGGTACCAGAGGTAGTAGGTAACACCCAGATGTGGAAAGAAACTTCCTGATCACTTGCCCAATGCCAGGGCCTTGACCTGGGTTGCTTTGCACAGCCCTCTAGGAAACCTAATAGGAAGACAGAGTGACTTTTATAGATTCAGAAACTAAGGGGCCAGGTGTGGTGGCTCATGCTTGTAATCCCAGCACTTCAGGAGGCCAAGGTGGGTGGATCACTTGAGGCCAGGAGTTCGAGACCAGCCTGGCCAACCCGGTGAAACCCCATCCCCATCTCTACTAAAAATACAAAATTAGCTGGGCATGGTGGTGCGTACCTGTAATCCCAGCTACTTGGGAGGCTGAGACAGGAGAATCCCTTGAGCCCAGAAGGCGGAGGTTGCAGTGAGCTGAGATTGAACCACTGCACTCCAGCCTGGGTGACAGTGAGACTCTGTCACACACACAAAAAAAAAAGTAAAGTAAAAAGAAACTGAGGTTAAGAGGCAGTGGCATTCAGTATCTTGTTTAAGGGGCGGAACTGAGCTTTGAAGCCTGCTGATGTCTGGGACCAGAGTCCGTGGCTTCATCTGGACCTCTCATGTAGAAGATACAATCCCTGCCTTTTAGAAGCTGAAGAACTGCAAGTCAGTCAATGACCTCCAATGAGCATCGATATGGGTGATGTAAGCTCAATGAAAGCAGATTTCACTGTGGGCAGGAAGGCTTCCTTTAAGTGGACATGGAGGACTCTGATAGGAGCGAGCCAACAGGACACATTAAAAAGGAGCAGAGAGAATTCTGATGCCAGTTAGACTTGGGGACAAGAGGTGAGGGAGATGCAATTTTGATGGAGGCCCAATTGCAAAGCCCTTAGCAAATAACCAACTAAGTCAGACTTCGTTCTGGAGGCAATGGGAAACTGGTGTTGGGTTTTCGTTTCTTTTTTGTTTGTTTGAGATGGAGTCTCACTCTGTCTCCCAGGCTGGAGTGCAGTGGCCCGATCTCAGCTTACTGCAAACTCCGCCTCCTGGGTTCAAGCGATTCTCCTGCCTCAGGCTCCCTAG